TTCTAAGTCTAATTTAGGACAACACAACTTGTACGAGACAAGATTGAAATCTGAACTTTAAGGCTTCAGGTATTGCTTTGCAATTGCGTGATTCGTGAAGGCTCCGTCGACAAAAAGACTTTAGTCTTATACATTAGTGGTGGTCTACCACTAACAAGTCTAACATAGTCTAGTCTAATGTATGTCCTTTTCTCATTTAATTTATGCTTTAGTATGTGATTAATCCAAAAATCAAGATCAAATTAATGGTAGAAATGCATTGAAGAAGGAAATGAGAAATTCTTTCTTCTACTTTGCTTGAAGGTGATATATTCTCAAATAGGCAGCATAGGCAAGTGGAAGGGGCCAGAAGAGGCCAAATTAGTAAAGATGGAGTGCTTTAATCGATTTAGAAACAGAGCAGAGCACCACCTTGGAATGAGATTGCTTTATTTAGGCTCAGATGCTTTCATACATTATTGGGGGAAACCAAATATTCTTCCTATGCACACATTGTAAAGTAAGCCTGCAGGGTGTGGAATAAAGATGATTGTGTTGAAGAACTTTGATTTTTTTGTCTCTTATGTTGAGATAAGAATCTCTCTCCTTTTTGGATGTGGCGATGTGCACTAGAATCATGCCCAAGCAAATTAAACATTTATTTTTCGATTCATTCTCACATTATTCACTTGTGAGGAAAGCTTAAAATTTATTTTATATCACAATGACTAATTGGTTGTTTAGTCAGGCAGTATTTTTTTAATTTTAAATAATGAAATTACCAAAATATTATTAAAGAATTAAAATGATGAGAAAATTTATTAAAAAAATATGATAATTTCATATCTCAAGTGTAGTTTGAGCTAAATAATAATAATAATAATGCCAACCCTACTTAGATGTTGTTTTACAATTATGATATTTTTTTTTCTTGGTTAGCCCCATTAATTAAAAGTTCAAGTTAAGTCAATTACTTCCCATCTAATTACTTGTGATGCAAGTGAGTAATTGAGTTTTCAATTGTCTCACTTTCGAAATTTATTCATTTCAAAACTTGCAAGTTACAAAAACCAGAACCTAATCAATCAAATTTATAAGAAAAATTGCTAAATAAGTCCTTTAAACTTTTTCGTAATCAACAATTGAGGCTTTACAATCTTTAATTTAATGGACAATCAATTCTCAACTTCCCAACTTGTAGGAATTGACCAATATGAACCAAAAAAAGAAAAGAAAAGAAAAGAAAAAACGAACAAACAACATGAGAAGTTGCACATCACCATTATTGGATGTTAGCTCTATCCTAATTTGAATAACTTGTTTTTCAATATTACAACATTTACAAAAAGAATCTCACATTTATATCGACATATTTATTATTTTTTTTATCTGGATTACACAATGAGAAACAATCATCTCTCATCTATTATCTTACCCCACCCGCATATTATGCGATTTGAATTAAGGACCTCTTACTTCCAACGAAAGAAGATGATCACTGAGTTATTTAGGAGCAACATATTTATTTTAATAGCATAATTTCTATATACTCTTATAAGTGCATAATAGTTGTCAAATTGAAAAAAAGACCAAAACCAACATTAAGAAACAATGAACTTAACAATTACGTGCAGCATGTTGCCTTTGGCCTTTGTGGGGCGTTGCCACCCAAGACGAATAAGGTCTAAATTGCAAAAAGCAAGGAAGTTTTAGGACTTTTTTTTAGCAAGAAAAAAGAAACCGGACCGAAACGATCAATATGATCCGGCCCACCCAACAAAATGTGTCCTTTGTGTGCACTTCACCCCCAGCATTTTCTAGAGGTTAAATCCTTAATTTGGTTTTTTAACTATTTTAAGGAGCTTTGATTTGATTTTTAAACTAAAAAAATTTTTAATTTGGTCTCTAAATTATTATATGAACTCTTAATTTGATCTTTAAATTAAAAAAATTCTTAATTTGATCCCTAAATGATTGTACGAAACCCCAATTTGGTCCTTATTGTTTACCAATTTATCCCAAGTTAGTCTTTCTGTACAAAAACCAACTGACGTGTCTTATTATTAACATAACATATGGCCATTAAATTATTATTTTTCATCGTTAAATTACTATTTTTCACCATTAAGTAATAAACACGTCAACTGTTTTTTGTACAGAAAAACCAACTTGAAGCAAATTGATAAACAGTAGGAACCAAATTGGGGGTCCGTACAATAATTTAGGGATCAAATCAAGGATTTTTTTAGTTTAGAAACCAAATCAGGGGTTTGTACAATAGTTCATGGACCAAATTGGGGTTTAACCTTTTCTAGAGAAAACAGATTTAACTGTTCCATTTCTGGTGTCGCGACGCCACTGATTATCCATTTTCGTTTCCATTTCACGTCTCCTGAAAATTCCCAAATTCTCTTGCAGATTCTTGAGGAACCCTAGAATTCCATCATGAATTTCTTCAAGTCAGTATTCTCAGACGACCCAGATCCATCGAATTCCGAATCGGAATCGGAATCTCCCAAACAGGCGCACCCAGAACCCGATTCCCCTCCGAAACAATCCGGGTCAAATCCAAACCCTACCTCTAGTCGGTGGAACTTCGGGACTCTTATCCAAACCCTAGCTACCAGATCAGAGTCTGTGATTGAGACGTACCGACGCGATCTCGAGGAGTTCGGGACGGGTCTGAAGAAGGAGATCGAGGTGGCTCAGGGCTCGCTTGGGACGGTGGGGCACGCAATTGATGAATTTGGTAACTCCGTCTTGAAAGGGACGGCCCAGATCATTGCTCAAGGGAAGGAGGCGATCCTTGCCGCTGATAATGAGTCGGATTCTTCTACGGATACTCTAAATACTCAACGGAGCTTGAACTCGAAAAGGTATAGTCGTTTTGATGCTCAGGTTCGTGCAGTTCAGGGCGATATCAATACCTACTCTGAGGAGCCTGAGGATTTGGAGGATTATAATAGGTGGCGATTAGGGTTTGTGTTGGAGGGGAAGGAGGAAGAAATTGAAGGACTATTAGAGGAGAATGGGGAAATTAAGAATATTTATAAAAGGGTTGTACCAAGTAGTGTTGATCATGATACTTTCTGGTGTAGGTATTTCTACAGGGTATTCAAGCTTAAGCAAGCTGAAGATTTGAGGGCTAATCTTGTGAAGAGAGCGATTTCAAGAAAAGAGGAGGAAGAGTTGAGTTGGGATGTTGATGATGATGAGGATGAAGAACAGGAAGATGAGAGAAATGTGGATCCAAAAGCCAATTTAAAGGGAGTAGAAAATAGGGGTAGCAAAGATCATAATGAAATTGCGAAGGAGGAGGGTGAAGAAGATTCAAAGGGTGATTCATCAGATGACAAGTTGGGTACCAAGAAGGATTCTGAGCAAATTGAGACTGAAAAGGGAAAGAATGTTGTGGAGGAACCCCAAGTAGCTAGTTCTGCTGTTGTTGAAGATAAGGAAGAGAAGATGCCTGATTTGAAAAAGGAAGATGAAGGTAGTGTTGCTGAATCAAATGTGAACCAAATGGAGAAGAAGGATGTGGTGGATAAGGAAGATTCAGTATTGAATTCCGCTGAGAAAGTGGCTGTGGGAGGGAAGGCTGATAATGGGGAGTCTAGTAATGGTAAAGATAGTGACTTTTCTGTTGTATCAAGCCAGCCATCAATGCCAGAGGAAGAAGACCTTGGGTGGGATGAGATTGAGGATTTGAGCAGCATTGATGATAAGAAAGTGACTCCAGATGGAAGTTTGAGCCCCAAAAGAGCCGATCTGAGAAAGCGACTAAGTGCTGCAGAAGAAGAGGAGGATTTGAGCTGGGATATCGAAGATGATGATGACCCAGCTAAATCTTGAACCCAAATGTCAAGTTTTACTCTCAGAATGTAAATTTATTATTCCTAGAATTTATTGCATTCTGTTAATTGTTATTCTTTTTTCATCCATATTTGTTCCTGTAAGTGTTGCATAGTGGGAAGAATTGTTTTCCCTCATGGTTTGCAATGCAAAATGTCTCTTTGCCTCTGTATTTTTGGTATATGTGACATGAAATTCAAGCAACTACACGTGTTCACAATCATATAAATGTTGCCTTTCAATTATAAGCTAATTATTGTGTTAATGTTGAATCATCTTGTTTCAAGAATTGGGAAGAAATTCACATCTATCAGCAATTCCTCCAAAAAGTATTCCTCGCTTCCCAACAGAACAGAGTGAATATTCTTGGCTTCCGAACAAAGCAGTGAGAAAATGGTTTAGCCGTTCTTTGGAAATTAGGATGAGGGATCACCGTAGCAAAGGTGGTGTTTCCTTGAACAAAATTGAGAAACAAAGATCGATATTATCAAACGATTTTAATTCTTTGAAGCTGATCATATTATTATAAGATCTGGTAAAGAAGTTTGTTGCAGGCATGTACTTGTGTGGGAGGGTTAATTCTTCCATCTACATATCCATTTCAAGTGAAGTCAGCACACGATAATCAGTTTCAAAAGGAACATGGAAATGATATCATTTTTTTCTGTAAGAAAAAGGATTAATAAAAATGACTTAATACACAAAATTCCGGCCTCTAGTTGAGCTAATTCACACCTCAATACAGAATGATCTGCTACATCTAAAGCCCTACATTGATTGGCACTCACTCGATACTGTAGAAACACTAGAACGGTAGAACCTAGCCTTGGTAAGGAAGGGAAATGAAAAAACAAACTTCTTTACAGCACCTGGGACTTGTTTGCACAATGGCAGAAGCTCTATAGAGAAGAAAGTGAGCATGGGTGATTGCCTTTGCTGACATTTCTCTGTGGTCCCAGGTCTGCATTGGACTAACTTCATGCTGCTTTTCCTTCAATGGTGATGCTTGGTTCAGGAGCAGATTCTGATACATCTGCTTCAACCGTTGGTGGTAATGCAAGCAGTCTTCCCTTCTGGGCTCTGGGGGGAAGATGCTTTGCTGGTTTTTTTGACCCTGCAGTCCATGGCAAGAAAACCCCAGTACCACCTTGAGGAAGTATTTTGGGACTCAATACCATTGGACGCACAGGGGCTAACATGACAATAGGGGCACGGAAGACTCCCCATTCCTGCATCATATCTACTGACTCATAGCCACTGAGTGGTCCATTAGGCATTGCATATGGTCCTGGAACACCTGGCTGCCATAGTGTCATTGCACCAGCCTGAGGACTAGACGGTGATGAGTAACCTTGGTTGGAATCAGGGCGAACCTTGAAGAATGTGATGCTGACCCTCTTGCTAGGGGATGGGCACATGACATGCCTTGCCATGTCAGCACTGTTTCCCCTCATTACTAAAAGAGACCTGCAAGACATATATATAGTAGTATGTTAACAAAAGATCTGGAAAACATTTATATTGGTAAGAGCTAGAATGATGAACAGAGGGATATTATTTGAAATTCTACATGCACATGCACAGTGAGCATTTCCAACTTTCAGTCTCTTGGTCTAAATCCTGGAAGGTAGTTAAAATGGTATTTCTCTCTTAGCAACTTCTCAGTTCTCACAATCAAAACATTTCAGCAATGGTGGTCTAGTGAGACGCCCTTCCTGTGTAATTTTACCTTTTTGAAAGTTTTCAAACAGTCACAAAAAGTGTGAACAAAAGAAAAGAAAAGAAAGATTCGTATTTACCCTTCTTTTAATGAAAGTGTGAGTGGACCTCTATAGTTTCCTTCATTATCACTCATCAGACTGCGTCCAAAAGCCATTGTTGAGTTGGAGAGGAGAAGAGTGGAGATAGGCTGATCCAAATGTGGTGGCTTAAGAAAAGGCTGTGAGTATTCATCCTGCATCAAAGAAATATACTTTAACAACTTCCTAAATCAAATTAAGTTCAGCATTCAAAATCCAAGACTGATCACATGGACAGATGACATGATATACTGTATTTCACAAGCCTTGTTGCGATTGGAAGGGAAAATATTGTTAAAGTAAAATGAAGTATACCTCATCAAAGAAGTTAATGATGCAACCGTTTGGTTTCTTATATTCTGGTATTAGTTGCCACTGGACCAAGTGATCAATAACATGCTGGAGAAGAGCTGGAATTGGCTCTGTGTTAGCTGTAAACATGGAAAGCTGGTTATAAAGTTGACTACTACACTAGAATTATGTATTTAAAACCAAACAACATTGACCGAAATGCAGGTGTAATGTCTTACTTGTCTGGTTGTTGCCTGCTTGTTCCTCCTTGACGTGACCAAAAATTGGAATACCAAACTGAATCAGCTCACGCTTGTTTCCTTTCATTTGTTTGTTGAATAAAATGAAGGTGTCACCTATATTCATCCATAAAAATCAGTAGGAAGTTGTGGGACAGAGAATAAAGTAATGTATCTTAGTCATTATCTTTTGCACATAAGCCTATTCTTTCTTGGCTCTTGAAAACGTATGAGAAAAATTGCAGAGCCACTGAACAGAAATTGTTCACCGTTATGTTCATAATCTTTAATACACTGAACATGAACAGAAAAGAGACCCTGAAGAAGTCCAATTAACAAGGCAAAAATATAATTAGTTTACTTTAAACCAAATTTCTGTTTCTAAAAGTTCTCTTCTATGTTTCAGGATTAAATGAAAGCTACATTCAAATGCATGATAAAGCAACCTAAAAGGTTTGAGGTATATCATATATGCTCTGCCTAAATCTACTGCTTTAAAACTACTTGTCAGCTTTCTAAAACTAATATTCTAAAACAGACTAAAGGAAAAGATAACTAAAACCAAAAGAAGAATTTTGCAAGGTTTTAGAATGGGAAAAAACCTGATAATTCACCATTCTGGCCAGCAGCATGGAGTTCATTCACAAAGTCACTCAACTTGGCCAACTCTGAATCAGTGAAAATGTTTTCATACAACTTCAATCCTTTCATAACATTTACCTGCCAATCGAGACAACCGGTCAATCAGCAAAAGCTTCTTGAATTCCATCACCTTCCCCTCCACCCCAAAAGAACAAAAAGGAAGCGGCATCTACTGTATCATATCAAATTCTGTATTCCATATTCTCTACAGAAATAATGTGTTTTAAACTGTTAAAGTAAGAACTCGCCATATGCCCTTTAACGTGCTCCTTGGCTGAGAAACCTTTTGTCAGCTTGAATTGGGAAGGACGTCCATTGCACTCATCATGGTTAGAGCATAGCTCAATATTTTCACCAACAAGGTGCACCACCTGAGACCCTGCATTACTAGAAAATTTTAATTGGAGATGAAGCAGACTGTCTTGACTACTAATTATTAAAGAAACAAATGTAACTTAAGGACAAAAGGATTAATCCAAATATGGGGCATGGACATGGTTATTGCCACCAAATTTGGTAATGATTTTGCATCTATAAAAAGTATACACTGTCAATGCCTATTTACATACTT